CATTCTGGACTAACTGCAGCCTCTGAACGCTTTTCAAGTGTAGCCCCATGTAGAGCATGTTGCAATAACCCAGTGTTGAGGTGACAAGGGTGTGAGTAACTGTTTGAATTGCCTCCCGATCCAAATAGGGCTGCAATTGGTGCGCCAGACGAACCTGGGAAAGGCCCCCCTGGTCATAGCCGATAGATGATGTTCCAGTTTCAGCTGCGAATCCAGGAGGACCCCCAAATTGCAGACCCTCTCTGAGGGGCATAAATTTTCACACCCCCCCCCAGGGTTAAGGATGGACTGTCTAAGCTGTCCTTCCCACCTTGGTGGGAAGGTAACAGCATTCTGTGCGCCTTTGGTGTTTAGTCATGTCAGCCACATGACACAGAGACGTCTTCAGACAGTGCTGCTCTTTGGCTTAGAAATGGAGATGAGCCCCCTAAATCTAAAAATGATGGCTTGCTAAAAAGCAAAACTTGTCTGTGTACCCTAAGTCAGCATGAAGTTTTCCCCCATTTTCCAAATTTTACTGCGGTTTTTCAATCAAAATTCCCCCAGTCAAATGTGATGAAACAGACCCAAAGATTGTGAGGACCCCAAGGGTTGTGAAGCCAAGCACCGGAGTGTCACGGTATGTGGCCTCTCAGGGCCTCTCCCATCCCTAAGGCACCATCTGCTCAATATCTAGCACTTTCATTTAACATCAGGAAGTTGTTGAGGCTGTCTTAATGACTGTCACTTTTGCAACTGTAATGGTCAGGTTCCATTATGATTATAGGCCAAGGACTACCTATAATGCAACAGATTAAGTGACACTATAGACATGCCATATATGATCCAATGTAGAAGGAGCTACAGCAATTGCTAGATGCTTACCTAAGTATACCCCATTTCTTTAGATGTATAAAGTCTCCCATTTGAATCGGACTCAGCACCATACAGATTAAAAACAGATAAATACCTAAAACAAACAAATGTGTAAATGTAAACAACTTTTACCAAAACAAATACTGCACCCCAGGTAGGCATGGCCTGTCCTATTTAATCTGTTGCTTATATAGCCCACTCTTGGCAGCATATAACTCTAGGCAGTGTGCATGATCAATAAACAGTACATGCCAGGAAAATAATCACTTCCAACTCAATGCTGGATTAAAATAAAAGTTTTTAATATCTTTCAAAAGGCAGGCCGGGCCAGGGTAAACCACATTTCAGAAGAAATGCAGTTCAATGCATTTCTTTTCTGCTGTTTAGCTTTGGCTGAACCCTGATAAAACTAAGGGGCTTTGGATATGTGGAATTTGAGATCTAGACTTTAACATCTGATTTTGAATGGGGTTGTACTGCTCCACACAGACCTGGTGCACAATTCAGGGCTTCTTCTGGACTAGGCTAGGAGAGTCTTTATGCAACTTCAAGTTGTATACCAGTTGCACCCTTTCCTAGATTGAGAGCCCCTGTGCTCACGGCACTCAAGCCCTAGTTATCTCATGTTTGGAATACAAGTAGTCATCAAGGAACACAAGTCCAGGTTATCTGAGGAACTATTTCACCCTGATGTGATTAGCGTGCCCTACCTGCGCCAGCAGAAGGGGCATGCTGCTGACCCTATCAGTCAAGGAACTCCGGCTGGGGGGTCCAGAAGAAAAACTTTCTGCTGTGGCTTCTATCCTCTGGAACAAGATGAAATCTGCACCCATTCTCTTGGTCTTCCAAAAGGCTCTACCACTTCCCCTGGGATTCCAATATACATATAAAATCCCTCGACCGGATTGCGCCACTACGGCCCCTCCGGGTCGGTGGATCCCGGAGGCCTCCTTGGTTCACCGAGGAGCTCCGGGAGAAGAAGCGCCGGAGGAGACGCCTAGCGATCCTGTGGAGGACCGATAAGCCCATAT